AATGTCACACAAGATGTTATGACATTGTACTGTGACAATCTGAGTACAATCAACATTTCCAAGAATCCCATTCAGCATAGTAGGACCAAACATATTGACATAAGATATCACTTTATCAGAGACCTTGTAGAAGAGAAGACAATTAAACTGGAACATGTTGCCACTGAGCTACAGCTGGCTGACATTTTTACCAAGGCACTTGATGCAAATCAATTTGAAAACTTGAGGGGTAAGTTGGGTATTTGCCAACATGAGGAATTGTAGCAATTAATTTTGCTTAAAACAAGGGTTGAAGGAGTTATGCTTGTTAAGTCTGTTCTGATTGGGTTAAACTTATATTTTCCCATTTCTTTCAAATTTTTTAAGAAGTTGAATAGACACTCTTTTTCCTCCTTCCCCTCTCGTCTCCGCATCAAAACCCAGTCTCTCAATCAGAATTTTCTCTCCAGTTGCTATTGGTCTTCTAAGACTATCAAAATGTCTCAAACACCATCATCATCCAATACGACTATTTCATCCTCTTCCTCTGATCAAGATTCTAGGGCAATCTCATCTTGCCTGGATTCTGAAGTCCTGGAGATTGCTCCTCTTAGAGAAGTGGAAACTAACCCCACCAAGGTCAAAGAGCTGAGAACAAGGCATGTAGGAAGGTCCCAAGCTACTGCCTCTGGTAATCCCTCTCATCCTTCTTCTTCTGTTCCCTCTGAAATTGCAAATAGGGAAGGGTCAGCCTATGTACGTCAAGCAATAGCTAAAATTGTTACAAGAATTCTGAATGAGAACCACTTAGTTCCTGGCATTTTTGTTCCTTTAAATCAAGAAAGTTCAAATGCTGAAACAAATCCAGATGTCTCTAAGGATGTTGAGACATCAGACAAAGAGAAGAATGCTGATATTGCTCACAAGAAAAGGAGAAAGCCCGAACCTTCTGAGTCTGATGACAATGCTTAAAGGTTGGTGGAGTTGATGCTGGTTCCTGGTGGAGTTTGCAAGTGTGCTCAGACTTTAGTTGTTGTTTTTACTACTTTGTTTGGGATGACTGTATAACTTTTAAGAACATGTAACTTTGGCCCATTTGTGGCTAAAGAGGGGGAGATATTCTGTGGCTAATTACTTGATAAACACTATATTTTTCTGCAGTCACATTTATTCTGCTGCTATCTCTGATTGCTTAGGGGCTTTAGCCAAAAATCTGCCAAAGAGGGAGTTTGTAGGTGTTTAGTTATTGGCATGCATTTTTGGTAAAACCAGGTGTGTGAATGTCATGACTAATGTCATAACATTCTGATTTATTAGGTACTGGTTTATTAGTTACCTTTTGCAGAAAAATAGTGGCATACAGGTACTGCTGTTTATGAATGTGTATCTGAGCATTTTGCAAAAAGATCACATTTATTGTCTTCTCAGTAAACATGAATTCTGATGTCATAACAAATGTTAAGACATCCTGTACTGATCTAACAGTAGTGCAGTTTGGTTAATTCTGAGATTTTTCAGGAAGTTGGCTCATTCCTTCCAGAACAGAATCTCCCGTTGTCTTTGGGTTAACCTAGCTCAACCCTAAACTGGTTGATAAAGTCTTGTGACCAAGTCTTATGGTTAAACCTAATTAACCCTAGCTTTTTGGAAACCCTAACTGAAGAAACAGCTGCTATATATTCAACAGGTCTGCTGTTTGGAAAAGAACTCTTGGACTGAAGATCAATTAGAAACTGTATAGTTTTAACTGTTGTAATCCAAGCAATTATCATTGTGATAAGTGACTTGGAATAGGTTTTGTTTGTAAGGGTTTTTGTACCACTCAAAGCTTTGAAGCAAGAGTGTTTTATGTCTCTTGACTAAAGCTTTGAAGCAAAGTCAAGTTAGGTTTATGTATCACTCAAAGCTGTGAAGCAAGAGTGTTTGTGTTGCTTGATTAAAAAGCTGTGAAGTATAATCAAGTGTATGTTTTGAAGAGTATCTTCATTAATTCATTAGTCAATTGTTTTAAGTATCACTGCTGTGATTGAGGGGGAGTGAGTAGGAACTCAGGTTTAAGTTGTACTTAGATTGAAGTTGCATTGGGTAGGTCTTAAGTGAAGGAGATAAACTGGTTGGTTTATTCCTGAATTAATATCTCTTATAGTGGATTTCCTCCCTGGCTTGGTAGCCCCCAGAGTAGGTGTTGTTGCACACTGAACTGGGTAAACAATTGACTGTGTTCTTTACTGTTTTTGTATTTACTGTCTTATAGAAAGTCAGATACGGTGTCATAACATTGAACGTGACATTGAGTATCTGCAGCCAGAATTTCAAAACTGTTCAGTTTATATTTTAAAATTTTGGACTTAGTGGGTCACGTGGTGATCTATGATAAGTTGATATAAGAGGTTGCTTGTTTAAAAGCCACATTAGGAACCTACTTTTGTAGTAAATGATGAAACTATGCGCGCACGTCTTGATTAGACGTTTTAAAAAAGTAAGTCATGATTGTCCTAACGTCATAGCAATTATTGTCTATCATGAAGATTGTATGTTCATCGAGATATAATTATTTTGCAAGAAATGCATGTTTCTCCAAGAAATTCGAAACACGTTTATTGGGGGCAATTTGTTGAATTGAAATTTCGACTACATGGGTTTTAGCTGAAATGACATAATTTGGAGAATATAGTTCGAAAGAAAGAATAAAGGAGTTTGTGTGAAGATTTCGACAGATGAAGAGCTAATTAAAGATTTGTTTTTTGCTACGTATTGGCAAAAGGTTCGTATGCAAACCATATAGATTTCAAGTTATTCAAAAAATCATTAAGCATATTTCAACCGTCACGTTTGGCGCTTGAATACAAGGAGTTTTCAAATTCAAAAGATTGATATTATCCAAAGAGACGCGTGGAAGCTTAAAGTTCGAAGGCGCATGAAAATGTCAAACGTGACAACATATTATTTAGAGACTGTTTGGTCGAAATTAGTATAAATAGGGGTCTTAGTGTTAGGATTCAGTGTGTTCACATTTTTGTACAAAATACTCAAAATTACTCAAAGTACCAGCGTTAGAGAAAGGAGTTTGTGGGAATGTACGTATGATACACCAATTTTATGTTTATTGTTATCCAAATTTAATTGAAAGCTTTATACATTCCTTTAAATTTCAGTCGAAATCTCTTTACATTCCACTATTTTCTTTAAAAGAATTACCTTACTATTTACGAAGTAACAATTGAAATAATCTTTGTCTAAAAGAATGAAGATGTTGTCGAAAACACTCTTCGTTTCAAGAATAGAAGTTTTGAATGAGAACACATGTACTTAGGATCAATCTGGTAGATTCTGCAAGTTACCATTTTTGTTCGATTTGGAGGATCAGTAGTTGTTTAACAAATTTCACGGTAAACAGCGATAAAAATGAATTTGGAAGAGAGAACATTTGTATAAAAATGAGAAGGTAAAAAAGAAAGAATATAAGAGAGTAGAGATTAGAAAAGAAAAGGCAAGATGTATTTGGCGAAGAAGGCGCGATAATGCTAGAAGATATTTGAGAAGACTGAAATAGAAATCCTAAGTGTAAGGAAGAAAAAACCGTTCGTAATCGTAAGACTAAGGTATAATAGGTACAAGTTTGAGTTGAGTGTGAGTAAAAAAAAATTAAGTTCTTACATAATGCAGTTTGATTCACTTTGATTCGGTTTCTAAAATACAAACCGCAAACTGAATCAAATCATGCGATTTTTTAAAAATATAACTCTAACACATCCGAATAAATACAAATTCTTACGATTTTAATTTAATTTATAATTTTTTATTTTTTTATTGAATTAATTCGATTTTAAACACTCCTACTTACAAACATATTTATATACATGTCCTCTACCCGCTCCCCTCTTTAGATGCTTTTGAAGTGAACAAAATTTCATTCAAAACAAACAAGAAAAAACACACATGACTCATGTTAAGTACTAATGCCTCAATTTAATTAAAAAAATTACTAACATAAACTTCACCAAATCCAAAAGTTCTTCCAAATAATACTTTTATTTTAATTTTTAATTTTTGCACGATCATTTTACAGTCTTAAATTTACAAACCTAATAGTCCAATAAATAATGAAAGAGTGCATCATAAATGGCATCACTAAACATATACTAAATTATAATAAATAATTAGCTCTAAAGATTATATTATATTTTACATAAGCTAGCTCTACCAATTCTTACACACTATTATTATTAACAAAGATTCTTACACTAATATAAGAATTAATAAAGAACGTGAATCATGTAATCGACATAACTATCATTATGACAAAACCTCAAGGTTAACCAGATGTTGACAGTGATAATGACCAAATGAATAACAAATGATGCATTCTCACTTACATAAATCACTAAAATTGTGATTAAACACTATAAAATAATAAAGAGTATATATCCTACGATCTCATACTAGCATAAAAAAATTGTATACTTTAAAATTCATTATTGTAGCATCAAGCAAGCCATACACAAGCCAAAGCCAAGCTGACAAAGATGGCTCAGAGTTTATCTCAAAAGCTAATAAATAATATTTTTTAAATCACAATTATAAACTTCTTATTTTTATTATATATCCACAAATCTTAATTCAACTATAACAACTGATATTGCTAAATTGGGTTTAATATTAAATTTTAAACCTGACTCTCACAATTCTTGGAGTAAGTTTTTTGTAATTATGATTAATTAAAATAATTACATGTATAATTAATTATTATATATTAACAATGAAAAACTTTATATATTTATAAAGAAAAATATATAAATGTCACTATTAAGATGAAGAAAAAAAAGGAAAATAGGTAATATTCATTATGCATAGGTGGAAGAGAATTATGTAACAGGAGCAATAAGTTTTGGATATAAAAGCAACAATTGATGAGTTTAATTTGCCCCTCATGATAAGAACTTCAAATAAGTTAAAAACCAATAGATACATGCATATCTTCACAAAGCAAAGCACTAAATATTCATCTATATCTTCAAAACATGTTTGAACTAGAAACTATGGAATATGGTCAATATAGTTGTTATTCAGCAGAAGCAGAAGCAGCAGAGGAAGAAGCTGCTTATGCGACTAGCAGCACATCTTCCATGATGAGGAAGAAGAAGAACAAGAATACAAAAAGGTTTAGTGATGAACAAATCAAATCATTGGAAACTATGTTTGAGACTGAGACCAGACTTGAACCAAGAAAGAAGCTGCAGTTGGCTAGAGAGCTTGGGTTGCAGCCAAGACAGGTTGCTATATGGTTTCAAAATAAGAGAGCTAGATGGAAATCAAAGCAACTTGAAAGAGAGTACAATAAACTTCAAAATAGTTACAATAGTTTGGCCTCAAGATTCGAATCAATGAAGAAGGAAAAACAAACATTACTTATACAGGTAAGAGTTTTAAAACTATTTCATATGAGATTTAAACTCCGTCTCCAGAGTTAAAATAACGCTCTTACCACTCATCTGATATGTATCTGATACGTATCAGATCAGTGATAAGAGCGTTATTCTAAAATATACGACAAGCTTTTACCACTAATCTGATATGTATCTGATACATATTTGATCAGTGGTAAGAGCTTTACGACAAGATAGTTGTAGAATAGTCAATTGTATGGCTAATTTCTATGTTGAGTTACAGTTGCAGAAGCTGAATGATCTGATACAGAAGCCAATAGAGCAAAGTCAGAGTTCATCACAAGTTAAAGAAGCGAACAGCATGGAAAGTGAATCAGAAAACGGAGGAACAATCAAATGTGAGGGTGAGGTGAAACCAAGAACTTCAACGGAAAGATCAGAGCATGTTGTTGATGTTGTATCAGATGATGACACAAGCATAAAAGTTGAGTATTTTGGGCTTGAAGATGAACATGGACTAATGAGTTTTGCTGAACATGGTGATGGATCGTTAACTTCACCTGAAAATTGGAGTGGTTTTGAAACAAATGATCTGTTAGGAGAATCAAGTTGTGATTATCAATGGTGGGACTTTTGGTCTTGAGTGAAACAGAACAAGTGAAATTGTGTGGTTGAAATGTATGCAGAATATGATATGATGTTACATCAATCATTGTTTTGTTGAAGATCAAAGGACATTTTGTTTTCTGTACAACATAGACATTTGTTTGTAGGAAATGGGTTTCATCTCTGGAATTTGGACATGTTTGGATAAATAACTTAATCAAACGCGTATAATATAAGTGCTTATACATGTCCTATTTCATAACAAAAAGATAAAATAATTATGGTGTGGAGACACAGACTATGAAAATAACAATCGAATGAATGAGAAGCAACTGTTGGAAACAGAGTTTGGTTTTACACTTTCTCTATTTCGCAATTGCAATATCTTCGTAAATTATAGAAAAAATAGCATCGTAACACTACAACAACTCTAACATTGAAGATTCTACGGCTGCCTTGCACTGTATTAGGCCGCAACAAACTAGGTAAAATTATTTTGTTTTATAGTACGTGGTTCAACAAACAATGTCGGGTAGGTTTAGAATTTTTTTTAATTAAACAAATTAACCATTGTATTATAACATAACATTGAAATATATTAGAAAAACATTTTCTATATGATATCACGAGCTTTTGATTTTAGAAGTCACTGCTATCGAATCCACCACATGTCCTAACATGTGACATATTCACAGACACACCACACATCCTAACACGTGACATATTCCATCAACATGTAGTGTTTGAAGTTACAATATCTCAGCTTCATGGGTTTAATATTTTGAAAGTTTGTCTTTTAATTTTTAATTTTGTTTATATCATTATTGAGTCTTCTCATCGATTATACATTCCATGGTTGATTTTTAAGCAATATACTTCAAGTCAATTTGTTGAGTTTTTAAATCAAGAACTATATTTGAAAATGGTTGAAGTCATGACAATGTTAGAATCTCAAAAATACTTTATATTTTACAAAAATTAAGATTCTAGATGTGTTATTCGAATTACACTGTTATATGACTCGAATCAGGATTATAAAGAGTCTGAGGATTGTTTTCATGTTTCCATGATTCGAAGTACAACATCCATGATTTGAATCACAACACTTTGATTCAAATCACTTGACCGTCTAATTCAAATTAGGTTGTACTTGAATTTCCTTGATTTTGTTTCTGGAACTCTGATTCGAATAATAGAACGTGTGATAAATCATACAAATGGATTCTCATATGTTCTTGACTCTTGATTCAAATCATTTGATCTTTTGACTCGAATCATATTTCTTACTTATGACTAGAATCATATACCATTTTCACTCATTTTTATGCTAGATCTCCAACACATATAAAAGTTTTTCACTCAAAGCCTCTTACAATGTTGAAAAATATACACTTCCACCATGAATTTGAAATTTCACAACACACTTGTTCTCTTATTTTTAAAAGGATTTTAAACCTATTTTGAGTGCTTTGTAGACAAATTCTTTCATCTTCTACCTCATTTTTTTTCTTCTATTTTTTTGTGGATCTAAATTTCATCTTTTGAGATTTTTGATTGTTAAGGAGATTTTGTTCTTGTGGTTAACGTTTCTTTGAAGATTTCTTTAGATTTAAGAGGTTTGAAAAGTATGTGTGGTTGTGGTTGCTTTTGAAAATTCCAGCGGAAAAGACAGAGGTTATTCTATCTTAAGTTACTTTGATAGTATTGTACGAGAGTCTATGGAATAAGTGATAGTTCTTCTCAATCTTCGGAAAGACCAACCCTCAAAATATCAGTAGGATCGAGGAAATATCTCTACATAACAGAGACTTTGGAGCAGAATTGTTAGAGCTGGAAGATTCAAGAGGATTTCGAGTAAAATTTCATGAGTATTTAGTTCGGATATTATGTACAAGTCAGCGAGGGTCCAGATCGAAGATTTAATATTTCCACAATGATTTGGATTATGATTATATATGACATCTTGTAATTTGTCACAAACTATAGTAAAAGACCAATTTTTTTCAATTGGAAGCCATTGGAGTGTAGTAGGCTCAACGAACAATAGTCGAACCGTTATACATTCAACATACTCTCCTCTCTCTCTATTTTAATTTTGTAGAATTGTATATTTATATTTCTTTTATCCCTTTCCTAGAATCATATATTGATAGGTTATTACATTGGTAGCGACTTATCAAATAAGCATAAGTTTTGTTAGATTGACACTACAAATTCTCTTGTGGTTAATTACGACTAAAAAGTATAGTTTTAGAATTTTCCATTGTATTGATTTAATATATTTATACTTCCGTTATAAATTGAAATTAATTAAATACACTACGTGAATACGTTTTTGGTTAGCTATTTGATTCAATATCTTATCTTCGTATACTGATTAAAGTGTTTTTTGTATATCTCGTCTGATAAGCATAAACAATCTCTTACGCACGTTGATTCTGCTACTTAAATTATTTTGAAACTAAATTATTTTATAAATTAGTCAAATTCTATTTAGGAGGTCTAATCACCCCCTTCAAGACCGTTGAATTCTCGTATTCTCGCCAAACAGTGTCCATTGGCAGCTATCACTTGGAACATGCTACTCATGTGCCACCCTCATCTATTATATTTTTTCAATATTCTCGTAGATTGTAGATCAAATCATTCTCTTTTTATTTGTATGGTTAAATTTTCATTATGAGATGGGAAAAACTCATATGTTGGGTTAGAATAAAGAGTTATCTGCTCAGCTAATTTAAGAGTTATATAATATACATTTGGAATGAGTTTTTACTTAAATAATTTAGTTTTAGGTGATCAGGAAACATTGACTTAATGCAAAGTGAAATATGGATTTCAACTCTCTATAAAATCTTCCAACGAGATTTTCTGAATCAAGTTTTATGGGTCATTTGATTTAAACAAAGTAGTTGAATCGTATTTAATTAAAGTCCTATAAGAGTCATTGGTAGGGGAAAGAGAAATTTTATATTGATGGTCAATAATGGGAAATAAAAAAATAATCACAAGAAGCCCAATAAATATATGGATAAATTCAAAGACAAGGAAACCTTCAAGCCCAAACTTGATACTCATGCTTTGAAGCCTTTGGGTGGTGTGGTCAAGGAGGGTAATTTCTTCTATTGTGGTAAGACTGGATATTAGAAGAGAAATTTTCCCGAGTGTTGGAAAGAAAAAAAAATTGAAATGATACTTTCATCTTAGATATATATATATTTTTTAGAAACTAATTTATCTACATATATATCATGTGTATTAGATATTGAAATCAACTTACCTATAGGTTTTATTATTTAGTTATAGAATTGTTATTCTACATCTACAATTAGGAGGAATCTTAATTTCTTTCATATTTGGACAAGTTTTATTTTTTTATTTAATAAAGATCAAATGTTGGTCTATTTATTTAAATGATATTTTCTATGCTAGTGCGCAAATGAATAACGGAGTTTAAGTCATTGTTCTCTAAATGATAATATATAACATTAATGCTAAAATGATTAAACTAAACGATTTGAATTCGACTTGCCTTTGAGATTGTCATTTAAACCATATAAATGAGAAACATGTTTCTAAACTCCTTAAAGATGGATTATTGAATTCTTTTAGTTATGAATCATTTAAGAAATGCGAACCTTGTTTATTTGAAAATATTACAAAGACCTCATTCACAAGAAAAGTGAAATTGCTAGTGATATTTTCCCCTTATATACACTAATGTATGCATACCACATAACACATGTTTTAGAGGAGATTTTCATTACTTTGTCACATTTACTAAGGGTTATAGTAGATATAAATATGTGTATATCATGAAACACATATTAGAATCTTAAGAAAATTTTAAAGAATTTTAAAATGAAGTATAAAACTAATTAGGTAAAAATATTAAAACACTTCTATCAGATTGAGGTAGTAAATATTTAAGTCTATAATTTATTGACTATCTAAAAGAATGTGATATCCTCTCCCAACTTACCCATTCTGGAATGCCGCATTGGAATAGTGTTTCTAAAAGGAGGAACCAAACTTTTTTAGAATGATTTATTCATTAATGAGTCGTGCAGGTCTTCTAAATCTTTCTAGGGACACACTCTATTAACTGTAGCTTTCACACTTAACCCTGTTCTTTCTAAAAAAGTGGAAAAGACATCATATGACATATGGACTAGAAATCAAGATAGTACGTGAAATGATAAACTTCAACTAAACTTTAGCCCAAATTTAATAAATGCTTGTTTGTGGGTTCTCCCAAAAAATCCAAAGGATACTACCTTTGCAACCATTGTGAAGGAAAAGTATTTATCTCTCAAACTAGGGTATTCCTAGAATGGGATTAGTTTTCAAAGAAACTAATGGGAAAAAACTAGAATTGAAATAAACTCAAGAATCACAGAGAATTGATACACCAATGAAGAAACAAGAGAAAATTAAAAATAATGTTTTGTATGAACAACCTACTCAAGTAACACAAGAATAACGTCAGACAAACAAGGTACATCGACTACAAGAAAATTGTGGTTTTGCAGTGTAATTTTGCTCAGTGTTTATCACCCTGCAAAAAAACACACACTTGTAAGGTGTTATTCACTCCACAAATCAAAATTAATAAATAAATAAAGTAAAATAAATTTAATACTCTTTTCACCTTGCAATTTAATGTGGGAGATTCAAAATTTTTGAAAAGTAGGTTACGAGGTGAAAAACACTCTAACATTTTTTTTTGAAAAATTCTACTTTTTTTGTTGGAAATTAGCTCAATTGAGTTATTGAGTATAAGATGGCAGGTATTTGTTCAGAAGTTGCAGTGTGGGAAACACATAACTAATATCAACGACTCCAAAATTTTCAGTGTATCTTTCATGTTGCAATTTGCAGTGTGTTTTTCACTCTGCAACATTATTTATATATACCTCAGTACACTCACTCACACTTCTCCTATCTTCTTCTCCTCTTAATATTTTCCTGAAAAAACTAGGGAAAAAAACAGTAACAACGCCATTCACCATTTATTCATCATCTTCCTTAAGCTCC